ACTGTCAGGTGAATATGGTTAACAATAACTCAGTGCCTCCTTTCTAAAATCCAAAAGAGAGGCTTCTGAATGTTCATGACACAAAGAAATGATAAACGTTCTAGGTGATACGACGCTAATTACCCTGACTGGATCATTACACAGTGAATCGAAATACCACTCTGTATCCCATAAATATGTTTAATTATTACACGCCAGCTCAAAATAAAAGGAGAAAAATCCTCTTTCAGGAGCTCACCAGCTCCTCTTTGCCAAAATATATAGTAGTATATATGTAATCAAATCCATTCATTTGAGGGAAAAACATTAAGATAAGGAACCTGAGACTCAGAACCATGAGGAAACTTTATCTAATTTCACACAATTGGTTAACAGTAAATCCAAAATGAAAACCTGGGGCCCTCCATGTTCAGTTCAGCTTTCAGTTGATAAAGTTATATGATCTCAACGCCTCCATGTTCCACATTGCCTCCTATGGCAGCTTACATAGTATCCTTTCATCCATTCAGTTTCGAGGTGGAGTGAGAAATATGCCAAGACAGTATGATGACTTGTCACGCAGATCTTGTTGCTTCACAAACAGGAGAGAAGAACTGGAGCAAATTAAAGCAATCTGAAGGTGACCTTAAACCCCTAACAGGGATGGCAGAACATAGTATTATCAGAGAGGATGATGATGGCGATAATAATAATTTTGATGATCACCATGTTGATGGGAAAGAATAAGGAAGCAGAGGAAGAGAACGCTGTCATGTATTGAAGCTTTCGGGGATGCAGAGATCTTGTTGATTCCTTGATGGCATCCAGCCTTTAAAACTTGAAGTCAGCCCTGTTATTTGCATAGAGTTCTTCTGACTCCCTGCTCTCTGCCTTGTCCCACTTCTGGATTCTTGTCCTGTAATCTTGAATACTTACATTTTCTTTGCCTTATTTCCCAGTGTTTCATAAAGAAGTGGAGAGCATTTATGTGGCAAGTACCTTGCTTCAGATGCTTTCTTTTAAAAATCATCTTGCCGGGCTCGGTGGCTCAGCCTGTAATCCCGTGCCTTTGGGAGGCTGAGGTGAGTGGATTGCCTGAGCCCGCGGGTTTGAGACCCGCCTGGGCTGCGAGACCTCATTTCTACAATAAATCAAAAAATCAGCCGGGCGTGGTAGCGCATGCCTGTAATTCCGGCTACTCGGAAGGCTGAGCCAGAAGGATCGCCGGAAGGATCGCCGGAGCCCAGCAGGTCGAGGCTGTGGTGGCTGGGAGCAGCCACTGCACTCCAGTCTGGGTGACAGAGTGAGACTCCAACTCAAAAAATTAAAATTAAAATTAAAAAATTAAAAAAAATAAAAATCATCTTATTTCACTGCATTCCATCCTGGGTGACAAAGTGAGAGATTCTGACTCAAAAAAAAAAATCATCTTATTTAATCCCAAGTACAGCTAAGAGTGACACCCCTCCCAGAAAGATTTCTGTGCCACCCAGATCAGGAGTTTGGGCGTCCTTGATAGAGACATTTAGTGGCAGCTATACAGCCCTGGAAGGAAAAGCAGAAAAAGAAGAAGAGAGAGAGCTCTCCTTTTGGCCCAAATCATCTTTTTATTTTCCAAATAATCTTTTGGCTTTTATTTTTCCCAAATAAAATGCTCACTGACTGTAATGACAAAGTTCAGATGCCACAGTCTTCTCAGTTGCACTGTAAATTTATCAACTCTATTTTAACTAGACGGATCAAGTCGTCAATGCACTAGAAATGAGATTATGCACAAAAAAAAATAGGACCAGGCTACTGGGCATCGCGCTCCAGTGCTGACTCTAAATCCAACTGCTGGTCCTTTTATGTCTTTGGGATTAGCTCTTGAAGGGCAGGATTGGGCACATAGATAGCATTTGATGATTAAACTGATATAATCATTAATTTATTAGTTAATTCACGAATGCTAGAATTGTGGAGTAGAAAGAGCATTAAACCTGGAGATCTGAGTCCTGCAACAATAAACATGTCATTTAGTGTCTCTGCCCTCTAGCTTCCTTATCTATAAAAGTTGGAGCTTGTTGGGGGCTATCATACATGAGCCTCTGTATGCTCATTCTGTAAAATGTGTAGGGCTCAGTGTTTGGACTACAACATCAGAGTTGCCTCTGAACCCACCACCCAAAAGGTGTTCTTTAAACTCAGAGGAACTCAAAGTAGATTTCCACTGTGACTGTGATTCCAATTTGTAGAATAGAAAATTTGGTCTTTCTCTTGTGAGAAACCAGGGGAAAACCCATGGGAAGTAAAAGCAGTGAAATTAAATGGAGAAAATAAAGTTCCTGGCTTCTAGGAGCTTGGGCAAGTCCCTTCACCTTCAGACCACAAGAATCCCAACTACACATTGACAGAGTAGATCCAGTCCCATTTTGATGGGCCGCTAATAGTCTTTTGGCTTGTATTTTGGACTGCACCCAAGGAAAGAAATTCAATTCAGCCATGTGTTCCACAGAATAATTTATGCTGGCCTGGGGACCAGCAGGCCTGTAAATCTGAGCTGCAAAGACATGAGAAAATATGAATTTTAAAAAACTCATTGAACATTTCCTCTTGGGGTATCTGTGGGTTGCGTGGAACTTACTTTCATCCTCATCTTTTTCATAGACTTTGGTTTCTAGAGTTCATGATATTGTGTCTAATTATGTTTCATTCATTTCCTGTTCTTTCAGATCATGGGCTAAGTGTTCTTTCTCTTCCTGTATCCCTCCATGCCTTACATAAAATAGACATGAATTGTCCCTCTGTTGAATAAATCCACTCATCCACTTATAGCAGCAGCAGTGTGGTCCAGGGTAGAGCAAAAAAAAAGAACATCAGGGTCAGAAGGTTTGGACCTTGCGCTGTGACTTTCTAACTATGTAACCTTGGAAAACTGAAGTAGCTTCTCAACCTCAGAATGTCGGGCCGGGCCTGCATGACCTCCCTTCCAGGTGTCTGTGGCAACTAAATAAATTTATGTAGGTGAAGCTAGGAGATATGATGCAGGAAAAGAGTGTAAAGATAGGCTGGGCTCGGTGGCTCAGTCTGTAATCCAAGTACTTTGGGAGGCCGAGGCGAGTGAATTGCCTGAGCCCGCGGGTTTGAGATCAGCCTGGGCAACTTGGCGAGACCTCGTCTCTACAATAAATAAATAAAAATTAGCCAAGCGTTCCGAATGCTTCGAAGGCTGAGGTGGAAGCATTGCTGGAGCCCAGCAGGTCGACGCTGGGGTGGCCATGAGTGTGCCACAGCACTCCAGCCTGGGCAACAGAGTGAGACTTCAACATAAAAAAAAAAAAGAGTGTAAAGATTGAATAGATATCGTCAATACAACCACACCAAAAACCTGAGACATGGGAACAGAGGCTAGAAGAACATACATAAAGTTTTGACAGTGATTTTGTGAGGCTCCTGGGATTACAGGTGTTATTTTTTTTCTACTTCTCTGTTTTTCAAGCATTCTGAATCATGATTCTCCTACTTTAAAGCCTTCAAAAAATACAGTATCTTGTTATCACTGGCCAGGACTTGCTGATTTCTTTGGAAAACCCTCCCTTCCTTTCCACTCCAAAGGCCAGTGTCCCAGTCCAGGCTCTCTGTACCCCACCCTGTCCGCCTGCTCCAGCCTATAGTCCATCCTGCAGTCTGCAGCCAGCAGCACCAGCTCCCTCCACCACCACTTTCACCATGCTCAGAAATTTGCTGGCTGTCTTTCTATTTCTCTCTTGCATGCCAGAACTAACACCTCTGCCTGAACTTCAGTCCCATGGTGGTGTGATCACATGATCTTTCCAGCTACTCCCAAAATGTCTTCAGCTCCCATTAGCTTGTCCTCCACACTTTAGGGTCCACAGTGAAAAAGAGTTCACAATCAGCCAGCAAACGTATCATTTGACCTGTACAATATTCTTACAAAGTTTGTGCCAACTTTTAAAAATTGCAATTGCACGTAAAAATCCAAATTTCCACTTTTTTCTTCAAAAATAAGATCTGGCAGCCCAAGTCCTGAATTCCCTTAGGTCTATAGTCTGGCAACAATTGACTGGATCCTAGCAACAGCTGCCTCCTTGGATAGGGCGTGAAGTCCCACCACTCACGGCAGGGATTCTGCTGGCCTGCAGGGCTCCTTTGAGGAAAGTAGAACAAGGCATATCTTTCTCTGGCACAGTCCCGCCTAGTCCACAGCTTGGCGAGGTGAGCAAAGGCTGGATGGGTTCAGTCTCCACTCTCCAACTCAAGGGCTGTCTTCTCAAGGGCCCAGCCAGTGTGACCACAGGCACTGGCTCTGTGCCCATAATAAATGTAGATAGGTGTCTGACCTCTATAAGCTCACATATCTAAAGCATTCAGAAGAATGGTAGACTGAGCTCTGAGTCTGTGGATCTGTGGTACCCTCATTTCTGCCATCTGCTTCGACTGCAGTCTGGCTTCACTCTGTCACAGATGGCTGCCCTAGAGTGCTACCTGCTGCCCCTCCATCCACCTAATGATGGAGAGAATGCTGTCCATGACCCTCAAACAAGAGTTCAAGCTAACTCCTATGAAATCATTAGTTACTTGAACAGTTCTCTGTGGTGAGACAGATGGTGATTCAGACCCATATTTCTCAATGGAGGTGTTAACGTTTTGGTCAGGACATTTCTCAGCTGTAGTCTACTGATGCATCTCGTTGCAGTGCATTGAGTATATCTGGTCCCCCCCAACATGCCATCTGTGCACACCAGTTCTCTGGGATGACTGCAAATGCCCATACACTTTTCAATTCGGACATCCCTACAGCTGGAGACCTGGGTGGACTGAATGGTCCACAACACAATGGACAGGGTTGGTTCCTTATAAACGAAGTCTGGTCCTGTGAGGAAGATGGGAAACTTGGAATGGATTCTGGGAGGGCAGTCGACAGACATCCATGAAAACTTTTTTGTTATGCAGAAAAGAAGATAAAAAGGAAAAAAAATCTATGCATATTGAGTGTTTACATGTGTGATATCCCCCTTCAGATGTGCTCCTGGTTACTATGGAAACCCTTTACTCATCGGAAGCACCTGTAGAAAATGCGACTGCAGTGGCAATTCAGATCCCAACCTGATCTTTGAAGACTGTGATGAAGTCACGGGTCAGTGTAGGAACTGCTTGCGGAACACTACCGGATTCAAGTGTGAACGCTGTGCTCCTGGCTACTATGGGGATGCCAGGATAGCCAAGAACTGTGCAGGTATGGTACCATAAATGTGAAGCCAGCAGGGCCCTCTGCCAATCCTGAATGTAGTCAAAGAATTTATCTTGGGAAAATATTGCAAGTGCCCCCTTGTCGCTTTTCCAGAGCAGTGTACATACATTTTCAGGAATGTGCATCCCCAACCTACCAGGGATGGACATTTGTATCAAGGCTACTAAGATAGCTTAGCTCATGAATAGAATGAACTGGAAGACACTAATACAAATGGGCTTTTGTCTTAGCCTCTTATGTCCTTCCAGTTTTTATCAAAGAAATAAATCAGACCTCCATGGTTTGCCTGTCATTGACCAGAGGACTGAATGAAATTTTGGATGAGTCAACTCAGTTTTCTTATTCTTGAGGTTATATCTCTTTTTTCAATTATGTCTGATATAACTGACATTTTAGTGAAATAGATTAGCAAGACAAGGGTACAATTTAATCACCCCCCTTCAATTTTCTCAAATTGCCAGAATAAGTATTTCAGGAACAGTATAAGAAATCATCTCAGTTGATCAAAATGTATACATTTTATTCATGATGTCTCCGATCCATTTGCCACATAGAGTGAAACTTTTCAGAAGGGAAGTTAAATTTATTTCCTCTAGAAGTAAAAGAAGGCTGAGATTAAGTATTTCTTACTCTTCTGTGAATTTGAGGGGAGGAAGAGAGAGAGAATGAGTTATTGTGCTCTTGTAAGAAATCCTTTCAAGGAAATAGATTCCCACTTGAAACAGATTCAAGGCATGAAGAGTTTAAAATCGAAAAGAGAACATTGTGCTTTACAAAAGTCACAATGAAAGTAAACACTTCTACAAGAAAACAGGATGCACAAAGGCATAACACTGAGAGTGGCAGAGGAAAGGACGGAGCACAGGTCCATTTGGAACAAAGAAGGAGGACGTAATATTCAGAACGAGTGTTGGCAAAAGCAAAGCCTGAAAGACTGACATGCTCATTCTCAAAACATGTGCTAAAGTTACATTTAAACTACAAAGATGTAGATCACTTTTAGACAGAAGCTAATGTTAGAAGTAATAAAGCGTGGTCTTGCTGAATGGTTTAATAAATCTACATTTCGTGGAACATTAAGCAGCAGAAATGTAATAAATGGATGTCCCCATGAAGCTGATTTTTTATGATTATTCAGTAAAGACAGCCCAGAGGTGGGAAAAAAATTCACAGTTCCATCCCATGTTATCCCTCCCATAGATAACTAAGGAATTCCATTTTAAATATTACAAACTAATTCTCACACAGAAACTGGTTGGAAAATGAACAGTCTGGTGAGATTAGGCTTTTGCTTTTTCCAAAAGGCATTATTGAAAATCATCAGTAGATGAATAATGGGCATCCAGGTCTTCTAAATTCATGTAAATATGTTCCTAATTCTTTCCACCGCATTATTTGTAGCTATCCGTTGAGAGCTATCATGTGGAGGTTTGGAATCTGTCTTGCCAAGGGTCAAGCGCTGTGGGAGCCAAGAATTGCTCCTGGGCCTCTCCCTCCCTGCTCTCTGGACTGCTCCTCCTTCGCACCTGGCCGTGATCAACCCTGGAGTTAGATTAAACTGAGGTATCAGTCAGCAATGAAGGAATGGCTTTCAATTTCAAGTTGAATGATGAGCTCTGTGGCCATTGAGTACCTTGTGAAACTTGCCAGGATCTTTTTTTTTTTGTACTTAAGCAATTGCACAACGATGTCAGAATCCCAAAGAGTTGAGAGAGAAATCCCAGAAAATGTAGCTTGTATTTTGCCCAGGGTCGCCTTTAAAAATCTCATTGTGCTGGGACTAGATTGGTGAGGGACATAATCTCTATGTCGTAAGATGCCACATAGTCTTAAGCAAGAATGTGATTAATCCCCACTGAAGATTTATACACGGAGAGCTAGTATTTCCAGACACAAGAAGAACGTGGCCACGTTTTAAGCATTAAGAAACGAATCCCTGATCACTTGTTTTTGTTTCCCACAGTGTGCAACTGCGGGGGAGGCCCATGTGACAGCGTAACCGGAGAATGCTTGGAAGAAGGTTTTGAACCCCCTACAGGCATGGACTGCCCAACCATAAGTAAAAATAACAGTCCATGACTGACTAACCCCACTTTCTCTAATGTGCTGCAGGTGTGGGATTAAGAAGCGCTATGCAATATCACTCTCTCTAGAAACTGCGGAGTCCCACCCTGGGATTTAACCCTGTCTGCGTCTCAACCAAAAGGACCCTATACCAAGTACCTGGTGGCCCACTTGATTCCAGCAAGCAAATAGGTGGTTTCCATTTACATGGCTCTGTTCCAAAAAACATATCAGGTCTTTATATTCAGTACCTTGCCAAGTGGGTGAAGGCAGAGTAAGAAACACAACTCCCAGTGTGGAACTCTTTTGAATCCCTTTGTCTGTAGGGTCTCTTCAGGTACTCAGACTATGTGATGTACAGACAATGATTTATAACACCTGGGGAAACTGAGATACCAAGAGATTTTTTTTTTTTTTTTTGAGTTGGAGTCTCACTCTGTCACCCAGACTGGAGTGCCGTGGCCGCTTCTGGCCACCGCAGCCTCGATCTGCCGGGCTCCGGCAATCCTTCCGCCTCAGCCTTCCCAGTAGCCAGAATTACAGGCGGGCGCTACCACACCCGGCTAATTTTTTTTATTTATTGTAGAGATGAGGTCTCGCTGCCCAGGCGGGTCTCGAACCCGCGGGCTCAGGCCATCCACTCACCTCAGCCTCCCAAAGGCGCGGGATTACAGGCTGAGCCACCGAGTCCGGCCCCAGAGGTTTTTTAAGTGACTTTTTCCAAGTCACTCCCAGTCTTGAAGTGGTGCCAGAAAGAGAATATTCAGGCTTTACGAAACGGAGCTGCCTTTCTCGTTCCTGGATTTCTCTGTCACTCCTTTTAATCACATCCTGAGGAGTGACAATGACAAGTGAAGCTTTTGATTTAAAGATTATTTTAATACTAGACATCCCCTCCCCCAAACAAAAATATCTTGGTCTCTTAGTCCCTCTGAGCAGAAGAGATTACTAGAGGTAGTAATTTAGTAGAAGTGGGAGGTGAGGGCATGATCCTCTTAAAGCGGCATGCTTCCAGGCCGACTTTTGATTCTGAAGAAAGTACTATTACCAGCGAATCACATCTTAGAAGATGGCTTATGTTAGGCACACGCGAGCCAAAGCTGATCCACGTCTTGAAAAGGTAGTCCCCTAGGCAAGGTCAGCTTAAGGACATCAAGATGACAGACCCAGCCGGGCTCGGTGGCTCAGCCTGTAATCCCATGCCTTGGGAGGCTGAGGTGAGTGGATTGCCTGAGCCCGTGGGCTCGAGACCCGCCTGGGCAACTTGGTGAGACCTCATCTCTACAATAAATCAAAAAATTAGCTGGGCGTGGTAGTACGCGCCTATAGTTCCAGCTACTTGGAAGGCTGAGGCGGAAGGATCACCAGAGCCCAGCAGGTCAAGGCTGCAGTGGCCGTGAGCATGCCACTGCCCTCCAGTCTGGGCGACAGAGTGAGACTCCAACTCAAAAAAAAAAAAAAAAGATGACAGACCCTAAGCGTTTCCCCCACCAGGCCTGATGTGCTGGCTGGGACCTATTCCCTTGAACAGAGCTTCTAAGTGAGATCGTGTTCAACTACAAATAACAAATTAACGTATTAACCACCATTAACACTCCAGTCTCCCTCGATCTGCTCCGTAGAGGGGAGCAAGACCAAAGGAGAGAGATTGGGAAAGGGCAGGCCGCAAAAGGTGCTGAAATCAGGTCTCAAAGCCTGGTGTGCTGTCCTTCTGTGTGTGTCACAGGAGGCGCTGGGTCCCAGAGGTGATGACAGTGGCCAGAGGAACTCAAATGGGAAGAGCGAGAAGCCATGAAGGCCTGGACCTGCCTCCCCATGGGCCCAGGTTCAGCCTGTACCTTGGCACCATCATCAGATATCAGGGAGCCCGTTCCCAGGGATGTGCTCAGATCGCCCTGTGGTGGAGTGTTCACCTGGCAGGAGGTGGGGGCATGGGGGAGGGGCTGAGCCCACCCAGGGGTGAGGAGACGGTGGATGCAGCCCCTGAATAAGGTGTCTAGCAAATAACCACCTTCACTGGCTGGCACCAAGCAAGAGACCAAGAATGGAAGAGACAAGAATGGAATCAGCTCTTAGGAAACAAAAATAAAAATGATGTTAACCAAGGAGGCATGCTTCATGATCCTCCTACAGCGGCATGTTTGCAAGCTGACTTTCGCTTTTGAAGAAATGACGTGTCTGTTTCACATCCAGGCTGTGACAAGTGCGTCTGGGATCTGACCGATGACCTGCGGCTAGCTGCGCTCTCCATCGAGGAGGGCAAATCCGGAGTGCTGAGTGTGTCATCAGGGGCCGCCGCCCACAGGCACGTGAGCGAGATCAACACCACCATCTACCTCCTCAAGGTACCTGGGAACATCCCACCTTCAGCTGTGTTTTTAGTCTGGCTTCACAGGTGCATATCTAATAACGCCTTCTATCCCATTTTTACCTGAGACTCATGGCTGTATTAGGATTGTTGGACTTATAGGTCTAACATGCAAAACAAATAATTTCATAGGAAATTGTGAAAAGTTGATTGTAACCATGAGCTTCAGCCCAAATCAAGAGCTGCCATCTATCCATAAAAGAGGCTATATGGAAAATGAAATAACTAAGGCTGTTCACCATGGCTCACATCTGTAATTCCAGCACTTTGGGAGGCTGAGGCTGGAAGATAGCTTGAGGCCAGGAGTTGGAAACCAACCTGAGCAACATAGTGAGCCCTTGTCTCTATAAAAACAAACAAAAAAATGTGCCAGGTGTGGTGGCACATGGCTGTAGTTCCAGCTACTTGGGAGGTTGAGGTGGAAGAATCACCTGAGCCTAGAAGGTTGAAGCTGTTGTGAACTGTGCCCCTGCACTCCAGTCTGGGTGACAGAGTTAGACCCCAACTCAAAAGATGGAAGGAAGGAAGGAAGGAAGGAAGGAAGGAAGGAAGGAAGGAAGGAAGGAAGGAAGGAAGGAAGGAAGGAAGGAAGGAAGGAAACCAGATTGCTTGCTTTCAAATCCCAGCTCTGACACTTCTTAGCTGTGTGACCATGGGTAATCTTCAGTGTCCTTGTCTGGAACTGAGGCTGATGCCTGCTTCTATCTAAAGGACTGTCGAGAGAATTCAGGGAGTTGATTCATGTGGAGAAATTAGAACAGTACCTGCATAGTACACACTCATTGCTCTTTGGAGGTAAAAATGAAACTCAAAGCACCTGGCCAAATAGTAAAGTATAAACAAAACAGAATTATAAAATTGCAGCCTGGATGGACTCTCAACAAGCATCCTACTCTAAACTCTGGAATTGCTCTTGTCCAAACTCAGTTATTTGGACATGAGGGCACTAACTCTCAGGGGAGTCACTCAGATTCAGGCCTCCTGACACCCCTCAAATCCTCTTTCCTCAAAGGCACAGCATCAAGATAGGTATCATTATAACTGACAGGAAGTCAGTGCCATTCTGAGTAAACTACATTTAAACCAAACTCCTCAAAGATGAGAACAAAGGAGACAAGGGGTGTGAAATAAAGAGACTTGCTCTCTACATTACAAAGATGAAAGTGGATTTCTAAATTCCATTTGCATTAATTCTAGTGGACTGATTGGTCCTTCGAAGCTTGGACATTTTAAAGCTCAGACACCCAGGACCATCACCAGCCTATGCTATGCCTTTGTACAAATTTTAAAAAGATGCCCTTTCCCCATCGCCAATGCAACCCAGGCCAGCATCCCAGCCTAGCAAGTGGAGCTTGCAGAATTCAGCCCATAGGAAGCCCATTATTTTGAGAAGAGAAGCTCACATTCTACTCTGAATCCTCTTATACTGAAAGAGTTTTGTGGATATTTTTTAAAACCTTGTGTGCACGTTGACTGACTATTTTCAAAACTCATCTCTCCACAGACAAAATTGTCAGAAAGAGAAAACCAGTATGTCCTAAGAAAGATACAAATCAACAATGCGGAGAACACGATGAAAAGCCTTCTGGCTGACGTAGAGGATTTAGCTGAGAAGGTATGTATGGATTCAGTTTCTGGGACAGTCTTCAAAGGAAGGATTTAGCTGATGTGAGCTGGCTAGTCACAAACAACTGAGGCTTAACACAGCCTCAAAAATATGTGGTGACCCATGTGCCTTAAAATAAATCAAAGCCAGATCTGTGGAGAAAGTTAACTTATTCAGTCTCTACCATCTCCTCCTACCTTGATTGGTTTTCTTGAAAAACTATGTTTATGGAGAACTTTATGTATTTGCTGCTGGATAACATGGTTAATTAGGATAGTCATTTAGCTGTTTGCATGAACATTCTATGGCTAAGGGTCATAGAACACCCAGAAGTAAACTTGTTAATATGTAGAATGTGAAATGTAAATGTTGGCTAAAGGATATATTCAATGATAAAAGGAAAGCAAAGGAATTGTCTTGAGAAAGCGTATTTGCTCTTTGACAGGAAAAAAATCACTTCCAGCCCTCACTTTACACTATAGACTAAGATAAATTCCAGACAGATTAAAGAGTCGAGCATAAATCCCAAATTCATAAGAAAATAGAACTAAATAATTATTAAAACCTGAGAGGAGATAACAGACCGCTTAAATACAGTATGAAGAATTACAACACAAGAGGTAATAATAGATAAAAGAGATAATAGATAAAATTTCAAATACCCAGTAAAGACAACCCAATAAACAAAAAATTCAACTAGACAGGAAAATAGGACTTATAAAAGCTGTCACAAATTAACAAGAAAAACATTAAATCATGAGCAGAGTCAATGTGAGGGACCTCTCAGTACACTTCGCAAGAGCCCAGTGGAAAAATATCCATCCCTCTTCCATATTAATTTAAAAACTACAGGCTAAATCTCAAGGAACTGTATTGCACACATCAAAATGTTTAACACTTTTTTGTCCTGATGGCTTTCCACTGATGCTGGCCAGAGTCTTCAGAATTGCTGCTTTCAGACACTGGTATTTGACATTATAAACTGTCAAAGTTCCTTTTGAAACAGTTCTCATGTTCTACAAAAATAAAGGTTAAAATAAGTATGGTATTCTCTTTTGACCTCGTATCTCCAAACTTTTAAGAAAGTATGCTTCAAAAAATGTGAATTATTCTAGTTGTACTCTTGGAAGATTCTCCTACTTTGAAATACATGTGAACATGGTGTCCTTAAGTTCCTGGGCTAGGATGCATATTAATCCAACCCTTATCGTTTGAAGAGCAGTGAAATCTCTTAAGTTTCAAAGGAAACACCCCTCCCAAGAAAGAATCTTTGTGAAAACTCATTGTTACTTCACTTTGGCATCAGATATGTTTGCTAAAAGGGTCTTCATTCTTTCTTGAGGAGAAAATTTTTAAGAAAACATTTGAGGAAATGTTTTCACTAGCTTCTCCCATAGCCCAGACCAAGCTACTGATCTCTCTGTTGGACAATTTTTGCATTTCTAACATGAGTTAAATGTGGAGTTTCATGGAGAGGCAATAGTCCGAGCTTGGAAGTGACGTCACAGTAGAAAAGGGGATCCTGGACGAGAAGGACAGACCACCAAAGTGGGAGACTGATGTTAAAGCTACCAGGAACTTTCACTGGCTGCTTCTGTCAATTTTTATTGAAAATTAATGTTCTTCTGACTGCGACAACAGTCTTGATGATGCAAGAGCCTGTTGAGACATTTGAGAACAAATTCCCAGAACAGGTTCTAATGACTTCTCAAGCATCCTGCAAACCCTTAGTCAAAAAGACCATGATCGACTTTAGAAAGGTTTTTGGAAAGTTTTTGCCTTAGAAAGCCTTCTCTCAAGAAAGTAACTAATATTCGGCTTTATGTAGAGTGAAGGATTTAATTGTGTGTTCCACAGTGATAAAAATCAGTCACATTGCCTCTTGAACTTGACAAGTAATACCTCTTTTGCAAATTACCTGCTGCGTGGATCTCATGTGACCCAAATCTCACAAGTTTCTTTCACCCAGGTACTGGGTCGGTCCCAATCTCCATGTCTAAGTCCTCCAACTCCTTTTTGATCCCCTCACGTTGCTCATGCATCTGTGTTCACAAACAACTGGTGCTCAAAAGGGCCTCACTCTTGCCAAGGCTCACCATGTCTATAACAAAAACACAAAAGACCATGCCAAGGTTTCACCCTCCTGTGCTCCCAGAACCATGATGCTCGAGGTCAGAGTGGTGCTGGGCTGCAGGCAGCTTATGGAGATGTGGCTCTCTCCTGGTCTCCATTCAGAGCCCAGAGTCACAAAGCCCAGCTTCAGGAGGTGCTGCATGGTCCCCTCCACGTCTCCATCTCCTCCCTCTCTGCCCTTCTCCCCACTCCTTCAGTCACAGCAAAAGCTCCCAGGATGTCATCACATGTAAAGAGATCCTTAGAACCCAAAGGAAAGTGGGTTATCTCCAAGCAACAAAAGCATCTGGGCCTCATCTCTGCTCCTGCCAAAAGGGCAGGATGAAAGTAAGTTCAGTCGGCCCTCTGCATCTGTGGGTTGGTCCCACATCTGTGGATTCAATTAACCGCAGCTCACAAATATTTGGAAAAAAACTTCCACACTGGGCTCAGTGGCTCAGCCTGTAATCCCGCGCCTTTGGGAGGCTGAGGTGAGTGAATTGCCTGAGCCCGCGGGTTCGAGATCCACCTGTGCAGGCGAGACCTCATCTCTACATAAATCAAAAAAAAAAAAA